AGGAGGCACTGGGCATTCATCCATCCTAGCCAGTCTCCCGTCCGTCCCGTCCCAGGCACCCATCTCTCCCATCCCAGCCATCCATCTGCCCTGTCCCTGGCACGGCGCCGACGGGAACAATGAGTCCAGCCAGCTCCTTCCCCACGCCGGGGGGGCACACACCAGCTGCCCGTGCAGATCCAGGGGTGCAGCACCCTTGGGTACGTGCTGAGGGTGCTGGGTGCCCTGCCAGAGCTCGGGGCTGGGTGTGGGAGGGCGGGAACACTCTGCTGTTTGCCTTGGCACCCCACCCCTGCTGCTGGATAAACCCGGGGAAAAGCCCTTGGAGGTTTCATGTCCCCTCCCTGGCTCTTCTCCGGGCTCAGCAAACAGCACAAGTGGCACCTTGGCAGCTTTCCCCCACCCACATGGGACCCTATAAATCCCCCTGGCTCCAGCTGGCCAAGGGACAGGAGCACACGGCGAGATGGAGGACAGCTCCAAAGAGGCACTGATGGATGAGGCACCTCCAGTAAGGAGCACCCACCACCCAGCCCAGGGAGCCAGTGTGAGGCTGAGCACCCACTGCTGCTCCCAGCCCCACGCTGGCAGCTCAGCCAGGTGCTCCCCTCTGTCCCCCCCAGAGGTACACGGAGTCTGCTCGCCTGCCCTGCATCCCCCACCAGCTCAAGTGCCTTCTGATCGTGGTGGTGGTGGTGGTGATCCTCGTGGTGGTCATCGCTGTCTTCCTCCTCATGGGGCTGCACCTCAGCGAGACACACGCCGAGACGGTGAGGGAGCACTGGGAAGGACCCACAGTGCCACCAGCTCCAGGGATGGGTCTGGGGTTGGCACCAGACACTGAGGCTTTGCAGGGATGGGGTTCAGCCCCCACAGAGCTCCCTGACCCACCTCCACCTAGCAGGTGTTGCGGATGACCATCTATGGGTTGGATGGAGAAGGGACCCCCCAGCACCTCTCCATGAGCAAGAAGGAAAGGACGGGGACGTTCGCCGTGCGGGATGGGCTCAACGCCTCTGCCATGGTGGTGTATGACTACAGCAAGGTGTGTGGGTGACCTGGGGGTGGGCACCACGGGGAGAGGATGGTGCTGAGCTGAGCCAGGTCTGTCTGCACACAGCTGCTGGTCGGATACAGGTCCTGGCGTCACCGCGCGTCACCGTGCTACATCACCCGTGTGGACAGGGACAACTTCCCGGGGTTGGATGCTATCACTGAGACCTTCCAGCACCCACAGGTGAGTGGTGACCACCCCACTGGGGTCACCAGCCCAGCTGGGATGGTCACCAAGCCAACTGGGGTGGTCACCAAGCCAACTGGGATGGTCACCAAGCCAACTGGGGTGGTCACCAAGCCAACTGGGATGGTCACCAAGCCAACTGGGGTGGTCATCAACCCAACTGGGATGGTCATCAATCCAACTGGGGTGGTCATCAAGCCAACTGGGATGGTCACCAACTCAACTAGGATGGTCATCAATCCAGCTGGGGTGGTCACCAACCCACCTGGGATGGTCACCAAGCCAGCCCCTATGTCCTGGGAAGCTGGGGACAAATGTGGGGCTGGGGTCTTGCAGCAAGTATCCTCTGGACAGGCTGCTGAGGGTGGCAGCCCCCCACTCTGTTCTCTGTCCTGCAGGTTGAGAAGGTTGGGCACAAGGCCATGCCCCTGGCTGATCGTTCCATCCTGGGCACCACCATCAACATCCTCTGCAGCACTGTCCCTGTGTACTGGGTGTAGCACCAGCTCCCAGTTGGATAGGATGGAGTGATGGGGGTGTCACTGTCCCCCGTGTTGCCTTCCAGGACATCTCTCCTCCTCCCTATCCCCATCCAAGGGGCACCCCCACCCTGGTATGGGGGTGCTCCATCCAGTGTTGCTCAGCACCTTGGCTTTCCCATGGCACTGCAATAAAAAAGTGGGATTTGCTTTGGGATTTGCTTCTGTCTACAAAGTAAAGCTGTGCATCTGCCTCCAAGTGCTGCTCTCATCCTTCCCGGGGTGGTGGGGCTGGCACTCTGTGCCTCAGGGATGGTTTCTTGAGGGGTGCAGTGTGGGGAGATGAATCCTTCATGTGGAGAGGTGAATCCTTCATGTGGAGAGGTGAATCCTTCATGTTGGGGTGTGAGGAGCTCAGGAGGGCTCAAACACAGGGAGCAGCAGCACAACCCCAGCCACAGCACATCATCCTCCCAGTGTCCCTACCTGTGCCCTCCCAGTTTGCCTGGATGGAGGATGAGATGGAAGGGGCAACCTCTGCACTTCAGCCCTTCAGGAAATGTCCCCAATCCTGTTCCCTCCTCATGCAGATGGGGACAGAGGGATTGTGTCACATCCCTGGTGTGAGCCAAGCCCTGGGGCATCCACAGACACAACCATCCACTTGCTCACTCTCCCTTCCATCCCTATCTGCTCCCCATCCCCATCCACTACAGCTCCTCTGCCCCACAGCACCTGAGAGTGTCCTTGGGGAGCATCTCCAAGGGCTGCACTGGAAAACTGGGGATCAGTGGTGCTGGGAGGGGGGAAAGGGCCCCCAGGAAGTTGATTTTATCTTTCCAGGGGTGCAAACTCAGTGTTGGCCCCATAGGCACTGCCACAGGCAGCAAGGAGGGTCATAGCTCCAGAGGGGTGACACTTTGCCTGGAACAGGAAGGGAACTGCATGTCCTGACACTGGACCAGCAGCTCTGCTCCCCAAAACACCCTGAGGTCAAGAGGGTGCCCCAGTGCCAAGGAAGGAATAAAGGCTCCCATGATGCCTGAGAGCAAACAGCCAGGAGCCACTTGAGGGGCTCTCGTGGTCCTTGTCACCATGGGAAAGGAGACAGGATGCAAAGCAGGGTGCACCCCCACACCTCCACACCTGGCTGCAAGTGTTGGGGGGCTCAGGGGTGTCTTGAGAGGTCCCAGACTGAGCCTAGCAGCAGGAGGGGCTCATGGGTGGGAAATACCAAGGCACAGAGGTGCCACTCTGCCACCTAGAGTGACATGCCAGAGCTGGGACACTCCTCACCCCAAAAATCCACACTGCAGTCACCACTGCCAGCCCTGACAGCCACAGCACTGGCACTGTTTGCTCCTCAGGATCAAGAATGAGGACAAGTGACCTGTCCCCACCCCATGGTGACCCTGGTCCCACTCCATCCCTGTGGATTACAGGAAATCTTCAATGTCCTGTTTGTTCTGTGACCACCTCAAGCAGCTCCAGGTGGCAGAGCTGGCGAAGGGACATGAGCCAGGTCTCGCCTTGGCTGCACCCATGGCCAGATGCTCCACCCTGGAAAGTTTGCCTTGGCCCTGACCCCTCGCTCCTGGGCAGCAGAGAGGTCCCTGTGCCTGGGGACAAGTGTCCTTGACCAAGTGTCCTCGAAGCCTCTTGAGCAGCAGGTTCCCAGGGGGATCCAGCTGGGATTGGGCAGTCAACAAACACAAGTGAAGTGGTCACATGCCTGACTGCACCCCAGGGCCACCAAACCCTTCACAAGGGCCACTCCAGTCCCCACCCCAGTGTCCTGGTATAAAACAGCAGGTCGCTGCAGGCAGGCAAGGCTGGAGGAGGAGGAGGAGGAAGCAGCCATGGAGAGCAGTATGAAGCAGGTGGTGGTGGAAGAAGAGCCGGTGAGTCTCTGCAGGGTCATGCTGGGGGTGTCCCTGTGTCCAGCCCAGCACAGGTTTTTAGCTAGTTTATCCCAGAGAGGCACCAGTGCATGTGTGATGGTGGAAGACACCATGGGATGCTGCAATCCCAGAGCTCAGGGCAGCAGGATGCCCAGAGCAAAGGGATGCCCAGAGCAAAGGGATGCCCAGGAGCAGTGGGATGCCCAGCAGCAAAGGGATGCCCAGCAGCAAAGGGATGCCCAGGAGCAGTGGGATGCCCAGGAGCAGTGGGGTGCCCAGCCCAGCAGCAAAGGGATGCCCAGAAGCAGTGGGATGCTCAGGAGCAGTGGAATGCCCAGGAGCAGTTTGATACTCAGGAGCAATGGGATGCCCAGGAGCAGTGGGATGTCCAGAGCAAAGGGATGCCCAGAAGTAGTGGGATGCCCAGGAGCAGTTTGATACTCAGGAGCAATGGGATGCCCAGGAGCAGTGGGATGCCCAGGAGCAGCAGGATGAGAGCTGCTCCCTGGAGCTATCCCACCCCCAACCCACTTGCATCCCCTAGCTCCCTTCTCTATCCCCCTCACCCCATCTCTCCTTACTTTCCCACACCCACAGGATGCAGAGGAAGGATGCTGCTGCCCAGGCTGCTGCGTGCACTGCGCCATGTGCTGTGCCAAGTGTGCCCGGTGCTGCTGCCTGCCCTCGTGCTGCAAGTGCCCCAAGTGCTTCAAGTGCCCCAAGTGCCCTGGCTGCTCCAGCTGCTCCAGCTGCATCAAGAAGTCCTTCTGCTTCCTCCCTCGCATGCTCTGCTACCTGCCCCGCAAGCTCCTCAGCTGCCACCACCTCCGCTGCCTCCTCATCGTGGTGGTGGTGGTGGTCCTGCTGGTGGTCATCATCGCTGGTGCCCTGCTGATGTGGCTGCACGTTGACCAGAGCCACGCTGACACTGTAAGTAGGAACCTCCTGATGCCTCCCATCAGGAGGGACACCCCCCAATGCCCAGGGGAGTTGGTGCTGCAGGCTCTGAGATCCACCCTCACTCCCTCTCCAGGTCCTGAGGATGGGTTTGTGGAGAGAACCAGGCTGGGAAGAGGATGTGGCCACGTTCTACCTGGACAGTGGGGATGGAGACACAGCCACGGTCATCTATGATTACAAGAATGTGAGTGGGGGGTCCTGCGTGTTGGAGGGACAGGGAGGGGGTGATGGGATGGATCTGACTCAGGTCTGACTTCCAACAGCTGCTGGTGAGCTACAGATCCCATCTCCACCCTGCCTGCTACATCATCCGTGTGGACAAGGACAACATCCCAGGGCTGGACACTGTTGCTGAGACCTTCCAGCACCAGCAGGTGAGTGGTGACCTGGCTGGGGCAGGATGGGGTGGAGGACACTCTTCAGTCCCCACGATGAAGAATTGGGGTGCAACATCTGCCTGGTTTTCCCTTCTCCCCCCTCTCCAGGCTGAGGAGAGGCTCTCCATGCCCCTGACTGATCTGTCCCTCCTGGGCACCACGATGAGCATCCTCTGCAGCCTCCACCCTGTCTACTGGTTTTAGTTTTGCTG